TCCTGCAGGATGAGATACTACCGTGGTTTTGATTTGGCGCGAGGCAGGGGAGAGTTCTGGCGTGCATGAGATGGGGCGCCGAGTGGAGAGTAACCGTGCCCTTAGCCAAGTTTGCCACTTTAACTTGGGTTAGTCTGTCCTGAGTGAAACTTCATTTTGTCTTCAATTTGGGAGTGATCTCATTGTGTGCTTCCAATGACACTTCACCGAAACGCGCCACACGCTTATACTTTAAATTTCCACAAATTCTCTAAACATCTTCACTAACTGCATGACTTTTTAATTGCCTATTCCATTAAGCCAATTCCAGCTGGCTGATTAGCTACATATCATCGCCAGTGAGAAAGTGCAGGTGAGGGCGCTTTGAAAAGCATGCCACTAGCTACTCAGTGGCTCTCGGCTTTGGCTGCACACCAAAATAATCTAGGAGTTTTTAAAAAACACTGATGTCTGGGTCCCACTTCCAGAGATTTCGATTTAATTGGTTTGGGTGTAGCCTGGGTATGGGTTTTTTTTAAAGCTCCCCAAATGACTCTCAACGTACGTGTAAGGTTGGGAACCATCTGTAGCAGAGACTCTCACATTTTAGCATCTGCTAAACCTGCTGGTGGGGAGGCCACACTCTGGAGACACTGGCTGTAAAAATCCTCCTAATATACACATTCCCTGGTAAAAATTTAAAAACCACGAAGGAAAAAAAAGGGCCAGTTCCTTTGCAATCTGTGACATGATTTCCAATAGAATAATCAAGTAACGTCATGATAAACTAGCTTTGGCTGAGTGGGAGGGAGCTCTGGTTTGTAGCACTGGCTGATTTCTGAGGTATAAATACTTCCTTCCAGCATGGATGATTTAATGAGCAGCTCAGAAAATTCCCCCAAACTTAACACTTGGCTCTCAAGAGCCAGATAGGAGCTCACTGAACCCACCCAGGCGTCTTATTTTTGGGGTGTGGTCCCGATCATAGGGTCGGTGTCTATTTTTCCAGCAGTGACACACCATCCAAATGCGAAATGTGTATATCTTGTTTCCTGAAAAGCCAGACAAACCCTCAGCATGTGTACTGGTCATCTCCTCTCACCCAGACCTACTTGTCTCTTCTCCATTTACAGTGAAACAAAAGCCAGCAGCACAGGAGGTCAGAGCCGAGCGTGGGGCCTGGCCTTCCGCGCAGAGCAGTCTGTCGCTCACTTACAAGCAGTGCACTGCCGTGCGGCCTTCGCCACCGTTGTATTCCTCCTGCCACTTGTCCACTTGGCGGATGAGCTTCAAGAAGGAGCGCTTGGACACCGGTGTGTCCCGGTACATTGGCCAGCCCAGGAACTGGAACTGCTGCACCATCCGATATCCATCCTGGGGCTACAGAGAACCAGACAGCAAGCAGGGAGAGGAAAGAAAACAGGCGATACTCACTCTGTTGAATTCCAGTGGGCTGACTCCACCTACTCGATCTTCTCACCAACGCAGGACATTACTAAAGGACAGTCCTGCCTACAAATAACAAAGGGAGCTGCTACTGGCCTGCAGAGTTAGGATTTTTAATCTTGAGCTGTTATTAAAAAAACAGGCATTTTTATGTGACAGGCCAGACAAATAAGACTGAAGCAGAATGCTTACCATTTTGCAAAATCCTAGTGAAAAATCACACACAACAAAAGCATCGACCACACTGTGCATTAAGTAGTTGAATGGCTTTACCTTAATTGGAGGTAAATTAAAGGTAAAGAATAAATGATAATCTGGAGATGTTTGCGAACTTGGTGTGATACTGCGTTTTTTGTGAGTACATGGTTTTGCTTATTGATGTGAATCTTGCTAAGATAGCAATAATTAATTAATTAATCTTTAGTCATAACTAAATGGAATTGCAAAATTCAGAACAGCATTACTTAGCTTATGTTGGAAAAGCAACAGCACCTTTAATCTGGCGATGGCCAACCACATGACTAAGTTGTCCTTGGCCTTCAGCAGCATTTGGAGCAGGTGATTGCTGTCTTCTGTCACTCAGCTGTCC